ACTCCAGGCCTTTGGAAATTGTCTCTTCCCATCTTTCTGTTTGGCTCCCTTCAGGACTGAGCTCCTTATCCCTCCTGCACCATTGCTGAATCAGCTCCCTGCAAAGCTCCAAACAATGAGGGAAAAAAGCATCATCCCAGGCAAGGTCTAAACTCTTCCACCTGGGTTTTATAGCAATTAATGCTGTGTTCAGGCAGTCACACCCCAGAAAGAGCTCAGTTAGAGCCCACATTTCCTTCCTGTTGCCCCACACTCCCACAAGTTCAGATCTGAAATGTTTTCCACACTTCCCTCTCTGTGTGGCTGAGGGTGAATGTACAGACTGGTGGCTGCTGCAGGGACACACGAGTGGCTCAGGGACCTGCTGGTGACACTGGTGGGCTGTGGGACCCTTCAGTGTGCAGGACATGAGGGGTTGTCCCTGCTGGCCTCACATGGAGCCTCTGCCTGCCTTTGGGTGGGTGCTGCACCCCAGCAAGGTGGGCACTGAAAGATTTGGTTTTCGTGAGGGTTATTCCTACCTCTCCCAAAATGTTTTGCCATCCTATTAGAGAGTGTTTGCTGAAGCAAATATGTTCTGTTTATTTATTTAATGTGCTGTTAAATGACCTTCTGGAAAGCTATTCCTGCCATGAGGCTTTAAAATGGATGGGCAGGCAGAACTCCAGGGAGCATGCTCCTCCCAATCAGGATGAATCATTCCAGTAGTTACTGTTTAGATTGATATAATTTTAGTTATAATTATGGGTAACGAGAAGGCGTTTAGAGCCTGTAACATTGTAATTCATGGTGAGAGGAGTCCTAAATGAAATAAAATATATCCAGATTTGCTGTTTCCCCCTTTCTAGGTACTGTGCACGTGGCATGGTTCTTTAAGGAACAGATTTTGTGCTGCTGCAAAAATCTAGCAAAAGTAGGTCAGAAATGACATCTAGAGATAACATGTTTGGTAACCACAAAGGGCCTGTCTGTGTCTTTCTATGTGGCCTTTAAAGAGTCCTGCAATTTATTGTGATGGGTACAGCTGCAGCCTGGAAAAGTTTTGATCCATAGGCTCCCATGGACTGTGGTGGGTGGATCACAGAGGAATATTGTCATTTTTGTTATCCCAGTGCATAAATAGGAGCTGGTAAAATGATATTAGCAAAGATATGGAAATACAGAGAAGACATTATAAATACATGAAGCTGCTGTCACCTGCCTGGCTCTGGAGTTCCATCCCACCTCAGCCTGGGCCACTGAGGAGGTGGAAGAACCCAAAAGTCAAATGGTGACAGCAATCCCCAAGAAAGGGACGTCAGATTCTGGAAGGACCTCACAGCACCTTCCAGGATCTGAGGGGGCCACAGGGAGGCTGGAAGGGCTCTTCGCAGAACTGGAGAGACAGGACAAGGGAGAAGGGCTTCAAACTGAAAGGGGGGACATTTAGGTGAGATACCAGGAGGAAATCCTTCCCTGTGAGGGTGGACAGGCAGCTGTGGCTGCCCCTGGATCCCTGGCAGTGCCCAAGGCCAGGTTGGATGGGGCTTGGAGCAGCCTGGGACAGTGGATGGTGTGAAAGGGGGGAACAAGATGAGCTTTAAGGTCCCTCCAAGCCAAACCATTCTGGGATTCTATGACCTGAGAACCACCCCATGACGGGCAGCCCCCAGGAGGCTGCATGGCTCCATTGGTGTGCCCTTTGGCCATGGGGACAAGGGGACACTGGAGGGAGCAGGGAAGCACTGGGGGGTGGGAGACAATCTGGGCACTGCTGTGAGAGCTGGGAGCCCAGCCCAGCTCTGGGAGCCCCGGGGGCCCAGTCCAGCTCAGCTGAGCCCAGCCCAGCTCTGGGAGCCCCAGGAGCCCAGCCCAGGCCCAGGAGCCCAGCCCAGCTCTGGGAGCCCCAGGAGCCCAGGCCAGCCCCAGGAGCCCAGCCCAGGCCCAGGAGCCCAGCTCAGCCCCAGGAGCCCAGCCCAGGCCCAGGAGCCCAGCCCAGGCCCAGGAGCCCAGCTCAGCCCCAGGAGCCCAGCCCAGGCCCAGGAGCCCAGCTCAGCCCCAGGAGCCCAGGCCAGCCCCAGGAGCCCAGCTCAGCCCCAGGAGCCCAGCCCAGGCCCAGGAGCCCAGCCCAGGCCCAGGAGCCCAGCTCAGCCCCAGGAGCCCAGCCCAGGCCCAGGAGCCCAGCTCAGCCCCAGGAGCCCAGCCCAGCCCCAGGAGCCCAGCTCAGCCCCAGGAGCCCAGCCCAGGCCCAGGAGCCCAGCCCAGCCCCAGGAGCCCAGCTCAGCCCCAGGAGCCCAGCCCAGGCCCAGGAGCCCAGCTCAGCTGAGCCCAGCCCAGCCCGTCAGAGCCGCTGCCAGCGCCGGGCCTGGCGTGCCACGAGCTGCTGACACGCACTTGACGGTTGTCTGGGGCTGCAGACGTGTTTGAGAGCTCCCATCTCAGAGGTTTCACAGCTGTGTTTTTCTGGCAGTGCTGGGATGAGCAGAGGGAAGCTGTGCCATGGACAAGGAGAGGGAAGGAGGCTGTGAGGAGGAATGCTGAGTCCTGACACATCCGCGTTAAAATAGATACGGCTTTTTACATCTGTTGATGGCTCGATAATTAGTGTTAAATAAAAGCAAAGCTTCAGTATCTGCAACTGATATTTCACATATGCTGTACAAGACACCAGTATAATGAACACCCTCAGCCACGTTTTCAGAACATGATTTATTTTAAATGGTGGAGTTTTCTTTATGGCACAGGGGGAGCTGCATTTCAGCAAATGCCCAGGAAGCACCAGACTCTGCCCATCATGAGCTATTGGGATGTGCAGGCTGCTCTGCCCTGACTGCAGGTGACAAGCTCTCCACAAACTCCCTGAATCTCTTACAGACTTGATAATGAAATACATAAACTATGACCCTTATTGATCAGGGCTCACACTAATTAATTTCCCAAAGTCCTGTCCCAGCCTGCAGTGGTATCAATTAAATAAAAAAAAAACCAACAAAACCCACAAGGATGGAGACTTCAGTTGGCCAAAGGACCTTAGGGGTGAAGTACTTATCCCATGGAAATCAATGCCAAGTCCCAATTGATTTGACTTGTGCACAGATGTTACCATTAGTCAGGTAGGTGGACACTGAGCCTCAAAAGTTTATTTGTTGCCAGAGGAGTTTCTCATGGACCTTCCCTCTGACCAGTGTGCCTCTGAAGTGTCTGTCCAGGGTTAACAGTGTCCCCAGTGTTGTTCTGTGACAGGGAAGTGACCAGGGATATGATGATTCATAAGTCCCAGGGCCTTCCTCACAATGGCACAAAAGAAAAGGAGGCAGGAGTTTGGCTTTTCATTTTTCCAATCCAAGCTTTTATAAATATTTCCCACTGGCAGGCAACCAGTGCTCTGAAGTCACTTCAAGACTCGTTCCCAGATTTAGCACTTTCATTGACACTAATTTGGCTTAATTATCCTAATGATGTTCTGGAGGCAGGGTTGACGTAGTGAAGAGTCACCAGTCCTGCTCTCAGCTGGGTCACCAGTGTCCCTCAGCACAGCCACAGTGTGTCCCACCTCTGTGAGGGAGGCAGAAGCTGCAGGCCTGGTGTGACCCCAGGCAGGACTTAGCTGGGAGTTTTCCATCCTGGAGACCCCTGGGAAGGGTAAAGCCCAGTGCCTCTTCCATCCCCATCCTCCCTTGGATCGTCTGCAGAGGCGATCCCACAGTGGGAATTTGGCTGCAGCGTTGCTGTGTGCCAGCCCCAGGCCCTACAACAGCAATGCTTCTGGATTTCTTTGAGATTTGAGCAGGGTGTAAACTGGCACAGCTCTGCCCTTTTGCAGTGAAAAATAATAGCTTTGCAAAGTGAGAATTGCTCTGGAGTGTTACCTCTGAAACATAAAGGCAACATCTTAAAGTGTCAACATGGATTGCTTTTAATATCTTTTAAGTGGGAATAATGATCCAAGGTATTCACCACAATTTCAGACTGGCTTCCATGCATCCTCAGTTGCCAAAAGTCTCTACATTCAGCTGCCAAAACCTCCTCTTCCCTTCCAACAGTTTCTCTACAGCAGGTCTGGGTTGCCAATGCAAAACTCAGCGTCACTGTGAAAACTGAAAAGGTGAAGATATTGTAAACCAAACCAAATTATAAACTAACTAGCATGAAGTCAATGGACTTTTTTGTTTTCATATGGAATTTTTTGAAAAGCTGAGTTTATTTTACTTTAAATAAAGCTGCTACTGAATTTCCAGTTGATTTAGCCAGAACACAGAGAACACACTGCAGGATTTGAGTTGTGTTTGCTGAAATAGCCATGGCCTTGAACAGATAATATATTTTTCAGCAACATATTTCTTTGCCCACTGCAGCTCTTTTTTTCCTCTGTGCTCTCTCCAGATTGACTTTCACTCTACTTATTGCCTGCCTCATTTCTCACCCTGTTTTTCCAGTTGGTTCTTTTCTACTGCTTTTCTCAGTATCTTTCTCCCAGGTTATAAGCAAAGCAGAACCCAACTTTGGGCTGAACTTTTAAACCCACATCTTGAAATTAAATAAAACAAGCCCCTTCTGTCTCTGTGTAGCCGTAGCTTCACAACTTGAGTCACTTAGCACTTTTAGCAGCTGCAGGATGGAAAAGGCCCATTGGAAGATGGTTTTTATTGCTGGGGAGGTGCCACAACAAGTAGGAATAACGCAGTAATAGTGGGGTAATAGACGCTGTGTGGGTACTGAGATGTCCAGCTCTCCATGAGGATTTTAGAGCATGTTCTTGGCTGGCTGCGAGTTTAAGAAGCAGAGTAAGAGGCTCAGTGACCAGGCAGAGCCTCAGCACCAGCTGCATGGTTCCCTGCATGGTTGTGGAACCAGGGATCCATCCACACTCGTGTGCCCCAGTTTGTTGTGAGCCCACGGGTGCACAGAATGAAGCAGAGCTCATCTGCAGACATTTCCATGGTGGAAGTGCCTGCTCAGAGGCGTGGCTGTGAGCTGCAGACCGTGTAACTGTGGCTGTGTTGTTGTTGTTGTGCTTGCAGGACGATTGCCTTAGCCCAGCTCTCCAGCCCAGCTCCGCGCCCGGCCCCGCGCGCCACCGCGGCCCTGACATTGAACTCACAGCAACCCGGACCGAGGAGGCTGCCAAAAAACTCCTGCTATTCTTCTTCATCCTCACTAACAATTTGGTAATGAAGTATTGATTTCCACTCCCCTGCTTATGGACGATATTAGATTTTCATTGATAAACTGCACTGGGGCTGTCTGGTCTCCACTGTCCCTTTTTGCTGTCACTAAAACAAAGTGCCACTGAAGTAAGATAATGACTGAGAACATTGATGTACTTATTTCGTCAATTTGTAACACTTGACAGGAAAAAAAAAATTCTTCATAGTTTAATGTCCAAGTGTGCTACACAAGATGCAGTCACATTGGAAGCTTTACTTTTCATGGTAATGTCCATTTCCTATTTATAACCCCTTTGGGATAGTTTGTCTAAAGGAAATGTTTCTATTCTGTGCAGCTATTACTGTTGCACCTGGGTTGCCCAATCCAGTCATTGCACTAGGGATCAATACATCACAGTAAGTACAAGAATTATTAAGTTAAAACAGATTCTGAGCCAAAAAACCTCTGAACAATGTTAATCTTCTGTGCAAGTTGTTCAAATAGTTATGCTTAACCATGTTGCTGCCAAAGATTTGTTTGAAATGGATTATTTTCAGTTTGTTTTATTCCTCAAATATATAGATATATTTAAATCTCCATTACGGTTTATGACGAGACATATGGGATGGAGGGATTTTTAAACAAAAGTACTATTGTTAGATTATTGAACATTATATAAATATAGATATATCTATATATAAATATCACTATATAAATATCTATATATAGATATAAAAGAATAAAAGTAGAGTTCCTTTCTCAGTTAGGTGAGTGTAAATCTGAAGCTCTGTTGTGGTCAACAGAGTGACTTTGGATTTGTGCCACCAAAACTGGGATCAGAATTTGGTGTCCGAGCTCTGTCCGGCCCGGCCAGCACCGCCAGCCATGCCTTCAAACCCACCCCGACCTGGGAGAAGGGGGCTACAAAAATGGCAATTTCAAATTTGTGCTTGTAACTTTTTTCATTAAAACTTCGAGGGCCCAATTTTAATTTGTGGAATATTCACGTTAATAATGAGATCTAATTAAGACATCCATTAAAAGCCCGTTAAAGTTAATTTAACGTAAAAATTCCAATAGAACTGTATTAGATTTTCTCCATTAAATTAACGTTATGGATTTTTAACGGATGTCTTAATTATACATTATTATTAACGGGAATACTGTATTACACAGATTAAAATCGGGTCCCAAGTCAACTCCCAGAATCTTCCAGGATATGCCAATGTCACGAGTCCCACTGTTCCTAGTGCACTGCTTGGAAATCCAGGCGCAGTCCTGCTTGCTCTCGCTCAGAGACAACAACCTCCAGTAGACAAATCCATCTCTGCATTTAACGATGAACTTCCCCTATTCTCCAAGGAAAAATAAGTCTGGATCAAGTTGTAAATCGCTATTCCGTGGCAAATGAAATATTCAAAGTATGCGAGGCACAAGTGGAGAAGAGGCTCTTTCTCAAATCAGAAAGGGCTTTGGAGTGTATTTTCCTGTTGTTTTGTTCATGATGTTCAAGGATATAATTGAAGTGCAGCAGTCACAAAATCAGACTAAATACATTCCCTGCATTCCCTGTGGCCTGTGCAGAAGGGCCTGTTTTGGCACTGCTTGGGAAATTTTGACATGATCCCTAAACTCAATATGGAGGAGAAAAAAAGGCCCTTCTTATTTACCTCCTAGGGAAAGTGTTGCCCTTATGCCACATATAATAGCAAATTGCTTTTTTTATGGCATGCATAACCTAGATGGGAAAAAATATGGCGCTTGAGGGAAGGAGGGAAAAAGTAAATGAAGTTCCAGGAATGTCATTCTGAAGTAATGAGGCATGGACAGAAAATATACCCCTCACATCATCGGATTGAGATGGCAGTCGAAATAGCTTCATTGAAGTGTCAGCACTCATCCATCAATCAATCATCCACAAGGAAAAATAGCGACAGTACAACGGGGCGGCTTTTATGGGATTTACTCATGGGCATAGGGAATAGCAGCTCAAATGTAGTTCTGACATGAAAAGCAAGGTGCTGATATTATTTTTTATGATGGGAGGATCATAAAGTGAATTGAGAACAGTGAGGTCTGTCTTTGCTTAACCTATTCAACTGGAAATGAACGGAGCTCAACTGGAAACGAGCAGAGCCTTCAGATGGGTTAAGATTGAAGCCTGCACCGTGCTGAGCACCGGCCATCGACAACAAAATTCTATTAAAGCAAAATCAATGCATTAGCATCGAGCTCCTCAGAAGCTGTTAAATTGCACAGCCCAGGCCAGAGTCATGAGGTGAAGTTGCACAAGGTGGGGCCTGTGGTGCCCACCCAAAGGCCACGAGCACGGCAGAAAATCACCCAGGGGAGAAACTGCACACGGGGCTCCTTTCCCTGAGCTTTTGGGTGCAGGGAGAAAATACTGGGCTGCTGGCAGCATGGGGCAGTGAAGCTCCCAGCCCTGGTGTTGTCACGGCCGGGAGTTTGGCTGGGTTTTAATTGGATTCTCTGTGCAGGGGTTTGCACCTGTGGCAAGGCCAGGCTGTAGGAATTCCCACACAGGGAGCTCTTGGGAGCCCCTTCCTACAAAAAGGAGGACTGGGGTCCCCAGCCAGCCCACAGCACCCGGAGCTGGGGCTATTTGGGGCACCAGCTGCTCAATTTTGGCAGGAAATGAGCCTTTATGGTGCCCTCATGGTGACCATAGGGTTCACGGCCCCACCCAGTACCCTGGAGCTGCAAACGTTTGGGGAGATTTTGGAAAGGCCAAACCCCCTGAGGGAGGTCAGGTTTTGCTCAGGAGCCTTCACTGTGTGGGAGCAGCCACTCTGTTTAAAAATCTGGACACAAACCTGTATCACACGGTGCTAAAGCTTGATCATTTTGCCTGCATCGCTGTCCTCGGGGAACGTTTTAGGTACACATTTGAATTAAGTGATTTTTATTTTTTTTTTTACAATACGATATAAAGAAGGGAAAATGTACGTCTCTCCTCTCTTTTCTCTGTATGAAACTGGATGAGTTGATAGTTTTTCTGTCATATAAATCAGATGGCACAAAAAATCATTGCATCTTTTCTCTGTCGTCGCTACTCAATATCTATCGTTCTGACTTTTATTCTTATTGGAGATCATCAAAACATTAATTAAAAGCCTGGTGATCAAACAGCCGAATATTTATGATTCACGCCCTTACTTATTAACAAGTGGCATATTGATACACCACATATCCAAGCTGTTTATGCTCTTGCACTGAAATAAAGCAGGAAGAATTGTTACCCTTACACACTGCTTTGAAAGATTTATTCAGAAACCAGAGCTCCCTTCCCGCCACCATCCATGTCAAAATAAGCCATATCACCTGAAAAAAAATGTTCTGTTTTAAAACAGGGAGAGGTAATTAGCATCCCTTTGGGGCCTAATATATAAGAATTTCAGTGGATCAGTCTCAGGTGTTTTTTCCAGGTTTTTTTCACTTAAGCTGAGAGGGAGAAGGACACTTCACTTTAAAAATGGCTGTCATTAGTACAATAGTAATTGTTGGGTTAAAAGAATATCTTTGAGAATCTGCTAACAAACCTGCCCAGTAATTACTTGTCAATGCAAGTTATTATGGGTTTTATTACCTACTTGTAAAAGTATTTACAAGACTGACCTCCCTAGCTTTTTTAGAGATCAGGGAGGATATAAAAAGTCATTTTAAAAATCAATAATTATATATTAGCACAACAGGGGGTGAAGCCTTCCAAGCCAGCTTTACAGGCTATTGAGCCAACTCTCATGCATTCAAATGGCAGGATTGTTTCCCTAATTTTTGGCCTCTTTTTCTTTCCTCAATCATGTTTTGATAAAGTGCCATATTTATTGATTACTTCATACCCACAGTTCAGCTCCTAAACCAGAAGGGGATATTCCCACTGGGAAGCACCCGTGCAGGATTTGCATGGAGAAGGAGCTGCCCCAGGTGAACAGGAAAAGGGAATATTGGGGTTTTTGTGGGAGCTGCTGAGGGGACACTGGCTCTGGGCTGGTTCCCCTGGCCTGATCCAGCCTCATCCCAGACACTCAGGGTCACGCTGGGGGTGTTATTTTGGGATCAAAGCTGTAAAGAACACCAGGGAATGAGGAAGGCTGCCTGATTTTTGGCAGATATTGAAGAGGTGGCTCTGGCTGGGCTGTCCCCTGTCCATTTTCCATCGTCACTGCGGGGCTGGTGGAGGGAGATCTCCATCACACAGGGCTTTTGTCCTCACCAACAGATATACGATGCAATTTATATTTAAAATTCTCTCTATAAAGACAGTATTGATCACAGATTCCAGATCAATACGTTGCAATTACAGCAGGCTTTAAAGGCCATCTGTCCCCAAGCAGGAGCACCGAGAGAGCCACTTCCATGGATTGTCAGCAAGTGCTGCTGGTGTGTGCCCACCTTCTCCCAGCACAGACGTGTCATTCCTGCTCCTAGGCAGTTGGGTTAGGAATTATGGAGCTGTAACTCCTGGATATTGGCCACCCCAGAGCCCCCAGATCAGCTCCCCATTGGGTTTCACAGCAGGGTCAGTGACACTGGGGCTTTCCTCACCTGGGTTTTCTGCTCCCCATCACAATTTGTCCCACAGGTCACAACTTTTCTTGTTCTCAACTGGAAGTGGTCAGCAAGAAGTTCCTGAATTTCACTAGAAATAGGAACATTTCCATAATGGTGCTGAAGAGTTTGAGTTGGACATTGTAGGTGCAAACAGAGCCTTTTTTGTCACAGAATCATTTATGTTGGGAAAGATCTCCAAGATCATGGAGTCCAACCTTTGACTATTTGTGTCACTTTGGACCACAGCAAGTGCAAGATTTTTAAACATAACAACAGAATAAAGGACATGCATCTAAAGGCAGAATTCAGTTACATTTCATCAATGAGGTCTTAATTTGCCAGCACCTGAACTCAAAATCAGCCTGTTGGTTGATGGCCCTGGGTGAGCCACTGGGTTGTTATTCCAGAAATGCTTCCTGGGTTTTCTTTTTTCTTCATTATTTCCTGCAGTGGAAAGCATGTAGAATTCAGAATTCTTATCCTCCAGCTGTCTCCTGAAGGAAAGGGAAAGAATAAAATAATAAAAATAATGGGTTTGGAAGCTGACTCACCTTTGCACCCCATACATGCTGTGCCACATCCCCCCGATCCTCCCTCCCATTTCAGTCCAATGTCTGAAAAATAGAGGCCAGATTCTGGATGCATTTATTCCTGTGTCAATCCAGAGCCATTTATTCTGGATGCATTTATTCCTGTGTCAATCCAGTGCCACCCTTTCAAATCCAGCAGATTTACCCTCTGTCTACCCAGCTCCAAATGCCATCCTCGTGGTCCCAAACTCAGATTTCAAACATATTTAGGCATTTTTGAAAACAAGTCCAGTAAACTTCAGTCCATAGCTCTAGGCAAATTAAATCTGCACTTGAGAAGGTTTTTAGTTATGTCAGGGAGGTGATTGCAAAACTTTGATATTGATGTGACCATGCTTGTAAAATAACACCAGTTGTACCACTATAAAGCACTTTATAGTGGTACAGCTCCTTTTGCTCTGCTGGACCACTTTTATACCAGTGCAAGCACTTTCATCCCAGTATCCTTCTGTCTGGTGGTGGATTTTTTGCCCTCATTCTGCCAGAAGAGATGTGAGGAGCAGATGAAGTTTCAGACAACACTTATTTCTTGAACCAAAATGTTTGCACAATATTTTCTTGGAGAGTATTTTTAAAAGTGAACTCGCTGTACCACTGGACTTAACTGCAGAGTAATAAACTTCCAGTTCATCATCCCTCTCAGCTCATGAAATGTCTTTAGGCCTTTGTAAAAGCCCTGTTTGAGACAACAGATTAAACACTAATCCTGGCGGATCACACAGCTCCACTTCACACCATCGAGCTGAGCTAACTTTTTTTTTCCTTTCCTTTTTTTGATCTAAGTAAAGGCAACAAATTCTTTCATTAGATTCCTTAGATGAGATAGCAGGGGGAAAAACGATCAGTATTTCATGAAGAAAACAAAAATAACATCCTGCAGAAATGCAGCCACGTTAAAGGCAGGGAATGCTTTCCCCATCCCCACACGGCATCACACATCCTCCCAAATGCCTGAAACGTGGGAGATCTCGGGGGCAATATTTTCCCTTAGAAGCTGGTCCAGGTAACATTTGAGAATGGCATATCTGTGTGTCTCCAGGAGGACACGCAGGGGCACACGGGCATTTCCCCAGCGCCCATCAGACACGAGGTGTGGGTGTGTTTGTGCATCCCTGCAGGAGCAGTGAGCAGTGTGCCCATCCTGGGCACTGCTGGCAGCAGGAACCCGCAGGATGTGCAGGGCAGGATCTTGGCTCTACCCCGCAGCAGATGCTGGAATGTGCAATACAGGTTGCAAAAGCTGACAAGCTCAACAGTTCTCATTTGGCTCAGGGTATTCTCTGTCCTATGTCTCTGCTACAATGCGCCCTTTTGTCTTGCGCTCAGGCACCTCTTCTTAATCCTTTGTTGGTCTTTTACTCTGTGTGTTTGTTTTGGGTTTTGTTACCTGGAACTGTCAGCACGAGTCAGGAGGGTCCCAGCCCCATTTCAGTCCTGGAGCACAGCTGGCCACCCTGGTGAATTTGGATTTGGGTTTGCTCTGCCCCACGCTCGTCACTCGTTTGTTGTTGGCAGCATCCTCAGGTTCCATCTGTGACCCGTGGTGTCAGGATCCTGTTTGGAAAACAATAAGGAAAATAAAGAATCAAACTCTCATTTCTCTTTAAGAAAACCACAAATGTATATACTCCAAATGGCAAAAAAGGCAAGATTAAACCCATTTTTTATACGAACAAGGCAGACGGGACTCCTCGCGAGGGCTGGTGGTGACTCTCCCTGGCGAATGTCTCGGTGCTCCTGCACTCATTTTGTACCCAGTGCATGCTGTACAGAACATATTGCCTGTAACTCAGAGAGGAGGGGGCCAAGCTGCTCCTCCTCGGGCACTGCAGCTTGTTTGGATGAAAAGTTGCGCCTTTGATGCATTTTTATACTGTACATATTTGTATATATTAACTATATTGCCATGTTATGAACACAGATTTTGTTATATTTGCTTGTTTCGGTTTCCTACAAAAAAAAAAAATGGTCCATAATGGGGGATATTATTTTTCTTTTTCCATAGAAAATACGCTTGTAATTTTTGTTTGTTTGTTTTCTTGGTCATCATCTTTTAATGGCTCATAAAGGAATTAGAGAGGAGTTTTTGGAGGAACTCGGAGAAGCAAGTCTGTGTTTGCATGAGACCTGCCCAATTGCTGGCTACAAAGGGGGGCGGGGGGAAGAGGGGAAATCTAAGTCAAGTTTTGCTTTTAAAGCATGCTTAGTCCCACGGGAAACTCATACATGTACAATTATTCTCTTTGTATTTTATCTAATAGTGCCTGAATTATTTTTTTTTAATGTCTTCTTGGAGGAACAATTCATAATTGTCAAAATTTGAA